TCAGTTTGAAATGATCAGGATCATTATATAATCGTCAATTCTCGTTCACATCAATTATACTTCGTTATTATAATTATTATCTGTCTATAAAGTGACAACGATAATTTCAATTTGATAGGTTAATGAATCCTTGCCAATATAATTATATTATTTCGTAATATCTGTATAAACGATTTTATTAAATAATGATTAATATAGCTACTTCGTTTACTTTTTAGAGTTTTATTACATACGGACACGATTATAATAATGATAATATTTAATTCGTTGGTTAATTAATTAATAATAATAATTATATTATAGCATAAAATTTGTATTATATTATATGTTTGTATTATATTAATTTATATATTTTTTATATTATTTTATAAAATTTTATTAAATTATTATTATAAATTATATTATAAAATTTAATATTATAATATTTATAATATTATTATATTATAAATATATATAAATATTATTATATTATAATTAAATATAAAATATATAAGTATAATATAAAATAATATAAAATTTTATAAAAAATTATTATTATGACTATTTTTTAAAATTGTATTTTATAAAATTTTATATAAATTTTATTTTATTATTAATATAAATTTAATTATTAATAAAATTTATAAGTAATAATTATTAATTTCATTTATATATTATTCTATAATATTAAAATATTATTTATTTTATAAATTATTTTATAAAATTTAATTTATTTCTAGATACAAAAATGTGTATACGTATCACTGTTGAAATGTAATTTTTAGTTTATTTTTCACTTTTTAAGTCCTTTTAATAGCCAAAAATCGAATGATGAGTTTAAACAGGATATTTTCACGTGTTACACGCCACGTTTATATATCTAAATACATATACACATATATATAAGATTGAAAAGGCAAAATGATGGAAACATTTGAAAAAAAAAGTATGTCAAACGTCGATCAAAGGCCCATGTTGTTTGTCATTAAAAGCATTTTTAAAGCTGGCACACATTAAATACCGTAAGACTTCGACAAAACCAAGGACACGAAAAAAGAAAGAATTAATGTGTGTGTGTAGAAAGAACGGTAAGAAAAAAAAAGAGAGGGTGACTAAAATGAAAATTTTTCAAACGCAAGATTTCAAGCCACACGTAACTCCCACGTAAAGTCTGCTTAAAACGAGAAAAAACGGGTGTGTAAGGGGAGTCAGGGAGGGGGATGGAAATAGAAGGCAGTGTACGGAGATTGGTGGAAGGGTAAATGAGACTGACTCTAAAATATGTGCCTTCGCCATTACGAAGACGTATGTATATGCCGGTGCACACGGTACAGGAAAAAAAGAAAAAAAAAGAAAAAAAAAATCCTACCCTTAACTCTTCAACGATTTGTACCGTGTTAAGAGCGTTTAAGGTTTCTACATACAGGAAAAGTAACATATATATATCTAGGTTTATATGTATGCGTGTGTGTAAGTATACTAACCCATCAGCTCTTAGACGGACAAAAAAAAATCAGAAAGGAATATGCAGGACGGAATTTCTTTTCCATTTTTTTTTTTTTTTGTTCTTTTCTTCTACTCATAAAGGATTTAGATATTTTCTCTGTATCTCTCTTCAAAGTAATAAAAAACTTTTACCCTTGTTAGTAGTCAAAAGAATACAAATAGTCGTAACGAGAGAGTAAACCATTTTGTGAAACAATACAAAAATGTCTTCTTAAGATAAGAGAGAAACAGCTATGTATTTTGTGTCTTTTAATTTTATATAATATATATATACCTAATCTAATAAAAAACAAAAGAATATTTCTTATAAAAAATAATAATTACTTAGTTTATAGTACCTATATATATATAGGTACTATAAACTAACTATATATATATATATTAAAATATATTAAATTTAAATATAAATATTAATTTAATATATTTTAATATATATATAATAATTTATATAATATAATAATAATATAATTAATAATAAATATTAATTAATATCTATAATTATTATATTAGTATTTATTATTTAATAATTTATATAAATATAATACTTTTCTTCATGTTATATTTTTGTATAAAAACAAAACCGATGACTGAAAAGATTATATATATACAGAATCACATACAGAATAGTCTATTCAAATCTGTTATAAAATCAAAAACAGTTTTATAAAATGATCATAAAATACAGAAAATTCGTTCCACTTTTCTATCATATGTTAAAAAAATTCTAGAATGACACAATAGCTAGAGAAAGAAACTAGAAGAAAATAAATAAGAAAAAGAAGTAGCAGTAGTAGTAAAATAAGAATAAAAAGAATAAGAAAAAGGAAGTAAAGAATAATGGATAGTACGATTTCCAATCTTTGTGCCCGAAAATCGTCCTTGATCCTCAACCGGAATCACCGCAAAAGGGAAAAGTATAAGATTATATAACCTGACTAGAGAAAACTTCCTTTCTCCCTGACTTTCTTTCGACCTTAGAAAAACCTAAAGAAAGAAAGAAAGAAAGAGAAAGAATGTAGGAATAAAAGAAGAGGGGTAGAAGAAACGTTATAGTGATCTAGAAGAAACCAGAAAGACCATAGAAGGAGGAGAAGGAAAAGGAGTAGGAGTAGAAAGAGTAGAAGGAGCAGGGTAGTGGAGGAAACGGAGAAGCAGTTTGGATTACAGGCAAAATACGTCGAAACGAAATCCCTTCATCCCTTAATACCGATCTTTCCCTCCCTCCCTGGGTTACCTCTTCTATTCCACATTCTTTCTTTTTCTTTCTAAAACCAACCGAATATACCACAGGGTGAGTGGGTGGGGGTGGGTCTTTTTCTTCTTGGTTGCTGATGGTCCACAGTGCAATGCGTTTTCATGACCTAAGACTTGAAGAATGGAGACTCTTGAAAATTCGTACCTACCACCAGAGCCTTCTTCTTCTTCTTCTGATTTCTACCTTCTTTCACTACCCTACACCCTTTTCTTATTCTTTTTCTTTTTTTTCTTTTTTCATTCTATTTTTTTTTCTTTTTTACTTTTCTTCACCTCTATTATTTTACTACCACCACCAGTTCTACCATGCTACCATCGTGATTTCTTTTTTTTTCTACTTTATATATACATCTCACCCCTATTTCTTCGTCTCATTCAACATCTTAGGGAGCAAGAATGAAAAACCTCTGCTGAAAAGATAAAAACTCACCGCCTTACGCCACTTTCTTGCACGAAAGGGAACAAGAGCAAACGTTCTCGGAGAATAAAGAATAAAGTTAGGAAGAAAGAAAGAAAGAAAGAAAGAAAGAAAAAAAGAAAGAAAGAGATAGATAGAAAATTTATACCCACACACACACACATATATATATGTATATATGAGAAAATAAGGGAAGATATAGTAACCGGTATCAAAATGTACTTGCTAAGAGAAATGGATTATGGCTTGGAATAGAGATCATGAAAGTCCAACGGAAAGGGAAAGGGCTTGGTTTTTCACGAAGAGATAGGGCTTCTCGTTCCTATCTTCTTCATACTAAAGATGAGATTATACAAGGTGTTTATCTCAATGCGAAAAATTTTTGGTGACATCGTGTACAAGAGTTTATACCCAAGAAAGGGTTTTTAGTTAATCAAATTTATTATACGTGAATGTAATAACGTTTATAAAAATTTGTTACACAAATACACAACCCTTTACCCTTACCTTTACCCCTTCACCTTTCATTCGATTTATTTGTCGAAAAAACAAGTTAGAAGTTTAATTAATTATAATAAATTTACTTACTTTTTTTATACTTGATTTTCTTTCTTTTTATCGTCTCATTTTTGTAAGAATTTATTGTTAGAAGAAATTATTTGAAAGAAAAATAAAAAGGGCTAGATAAGAGGTGGTAGGGGGAGATGTGAATGGGGGAGAGTGTTTGGGTGAAAATGTCATGAATTTTCTGTAAAAGTTTTGAAATCTTTGAAGATATTCTCGTTGACACAACGTTCGAAGAGACGAAGGACGAGAAAAAGGGACGAAATGGAAGAGGATAATAATAAAAGAGTAATAATGAGTGGTAGGAGTGAAAGAGAAATCCTTTTGTTTCTTAGCCAACGTTTTGTTTCAGGATTACGAGCTTATGAACTATCCACGTTTATCTGCGACTACGACGACGACAACTCTCTTCTCTCTTCTCTTCTCCTCTACTCTTCTCTCTTCTACGAGAGAAAAGTAAAAGAGAAAGATAAGTAGGTAGTAGAGCGTAAAGTGGAAAGAGAAAAGCTTTAGGACATAATACAAAAAGGCAATTATCAAAAGTAATCACAAACGCTTGCTAGATATACACAGGTTGATTTTTTTCAAAAGAAATATCTCTCTTTCTCTCTTCCTCTTTCTCTTCAACGACTCTTTTTTAGATTTTCTTTCTTTCTTTTTTGTTTGTTTGTTTCTTCGTTCGCTCGTTCATTCTTTCTTTACGATTAACTTGTCCAGAAATATTTATTATTTTGTTATTTTAATTTATTAATTTTTAATTATTTTATTAATTATTAATCTTTTAATTTAAATTTTATTATTTTAATTTAATTACTAGTAATAATAATAATAATAACAACAATAATAGTAATAGTAATTCCTGGTAATAATAATAATAATAATAATAATAATAATAATAATAATAATAGTAATAATAGTAATAGTAAATAATAAATAAGTGTATATTTTATTTTAATAATAATTAAAATATTTTAAAATTTAAATGTGTATATATCATATATAATTATAACTAACACTAGATTTACGAACTCAGACAATTTGATTAATTAAAAATTTTATTACTATATATATATAATTTAAATAATAACCTTTAAAAACATATGTTAATTTTTAATAACTTAATAAAATATACATAAATATTATTTGTTAATAATTAAAAATATAATAAATAAAATATCATCCGTGAATAAAGTGTTAATTCGAATCATGAATTTGATCGATATTCATTTCGTGGCAAAAAAAAAAAATAAAAGAAAAAGAAAGATAATGACAATCTTACCTTATCTTCGAGATGACAGTCGGAGTAAATTCTAACTGACCAAATCCAAGTTCTTGCGGTCTCACGTCATCCAAACTACTGTATCTTACGTAGCTACAGGCTGGCGTAGTAAATGCTGTAAAAGATATCACACAAATTAACATCTACACATGTACATATACAAACTTCGTAACTTTATTCAATATACATGATATTCTAAGAACTTTGAAAAAAAATATACATATATATATATAGAAAAAAAATCCAATATACAATTCATTTTTTGTGGTATAAGTATTAAACGTTCATATCGAAATTGGATTACTAGTAATCGACTTTATTTCTTTTTTTATTTTATTTTATTTTATTTTTTTTTTTTTTATTTATATTCGTTTACAATGATAGCTTATATTGAGCAAACCAAATAGGACGATAGAGTTCGACATGTATATATATGAAAAAAGAGATATAACATGTGGCGTACGCGTTAACGTTGAAAAATCAATAGCTGCCGGCAGAGTTCTCTTCTGTTTCCTACCTCATTCTATTTCTCTCTTTCTATCTATCTATCTCATCCCCTCTCAATTTCCCTTTCCATAAATAAATATGAATATTACGTATCGGCAAGCAACGGAACAACCCCCCCCCACCCCTATGCGTGTATATATCCAGCGTAAATTTATTATACCCAAAAGATACCGGAGGGGGAGAAAGAGAAAATTCGAACGTTTCGAATCGAGATTCGTTTTTGAAAACGTGTTTCTATGGGCTTTTTTTCAAAATCATCCCTCTTCCACATTTCTACGCTATTCGCGTCGAATACCTTTTAATAATTCAATTACGAACAGGAATATTTATACATTGTGACAAGTTATAGACATCTACGAAAAGATTTATATTTCTTTTATTATAAATTTTTAATTTATTTTTGTTTTTTGGTTATTTATTTTGTTTACTTTCAACCCCTCCTTTCCCCCTCATTAATCACCGGCTTTGTTTCTATACAAAAATACGACATGAAGAAAATTATTATATGTATATAAATTTTTAAATTATTATATTTATATAATAGTTATATAATATTATATATTTATATATAATAGATATGTATATAATAGATTATTATATTTATATAATAGAAAATTATATAAAAATATAATAAGAAAATATAATATTATATATTATATATATATTATATTATTATGTTATATATAAATTATTACATTATTATATTTATCATTATATTATATAAATTAATATATTTTAATATCATTATATTATATAAATTTATATAATATAATATTTTATATATATATTATTATATTATAAGATTTAATTTGATTTAAAAAAGAATATAAAAAATCCTACTCTACCTTTCCCTATTTCCCCTATAAAAAAAGAAATAACAAATAACGTTTTAATTTAACGAGAGGGATGAAATTTCTTCCGTATAATTTTCTATTACTTATTCTCATAATGATTCGATAAATAATCTCTCTCTCTCTCTCTTTCTTTATTCATCTTTCTCTCTATTTCACGTGAAAAGTCAATATAGCAAGTATAATCGTGGAAAATGCAAATTCGCATTTCACCATGGATGGTAGTAAAATAATCTTCACGTCGACTTATGAAATCCGAGCACACTTCCGTGTTCCAGCAACCTTCTCAGAGGCATGCCGAGGTAAAAGGTAAATCCTTCGAGGCAACAATGGGGGAATACTAGCAACGAAAAGGAAATAAAGAGAGAAAAAGAAAGAGAAAGAAACGAAAAGAAAGAAAGAGAAAGAGAAAGAGTAGGTTTTCAAGCATTATGCTCAAGGAAAGAGGAAAGAGGAAGGAAAATAGGAACGAAAGGAAGGGGTTATGGGGGTGTGGATAACAGAGAAAGAGGAAAAAAAAAGAAAAAAGAAGAAGAAGAGGGTGGTTTGGTCGTCCCAAGGGTAGTATAACTTCTCGATTGTTATTAGGGGATTATTGTTATTAAGTACACATCCAGGACGAACGGGGGAGAGAAGAAAAAAAAAGGAAAAGAATAAGAGAAGAGATTCGTGAAATGGTAAAGCAAAAAGGGATAGAAAAGGTTGGACTGAATAAGAAAAAAAAAATAAATAAAGGGAAGAAAAAAAAAGTAGTTGGAATAAACAAGATCTACAACACGAGCAGGTGGAGAAGGGGGTGAGGGGTAAGAGTAAGGAAAATAACGGAAAGTAGATATTCCCACTCGTGATTGTACCATAAGCAGAAATAAGTAAGAAACTGAGGTAAAGATTTTCTCGTTTGAGAAGGGAAAAAAGAATATGATGATGTTCATCCACCCCCACTATGGTTCTATGATCCCTACGACATCGAAAAATCTTAAATCCAACTATAGAAAGAGAAAGATTTTGAGTTTGCTCATATTAAAGATAGAAAAAGAATAGAATAGTAAAGAATATGTTAGATAATTTTTTTATCATATTTTACAATTTCTTATTATGATTAAAATTTTATCTTATATAGCAAAAAAAATTTGTTTATATTTTCGCCTATATTTTTAATGTATAAACCATTATTATTAATTTGCAAAACTAATTTAGAAGTAATAAAATTTTAATTTAATTATAATTTTTTAATTTTTTTTTATACCTATTGAATAAACTATAATTATATTAA